TCTATTTTCTCTCCCACTCTCATAAATCTCTTTTAATTTTGTCAGATAACTCTCCAAATAGCTTTGGAATTTTGAAAATTCAACTCAGTTTTTGAGAAACTTATGTGTATAATTAAAAGTTACATAATGCTCAAAGCATGCAATGAGGGTTGAGGAGTTGGGGACCACCATGGGATATAGTACTTCTGTGTTTTACAGTATTTAATTTTTCAGTATACAGGAGCACTGCCTCACACTGGGACAACTTAGCAGCTTCCTCTAGCTCCAGCAGCATCTTCAGTCATCACTGTGGTGAGGTATGAGTAAAAACAGAAACTACCTGGCTGGGCAGAGGCAGGATCCTCACAAGCCTTGAAGTACACAAATAATTAAATTCAGCACCACAGCACTCCTCAAAGAGTGCCCACTACAAAAAGTAGAAGAAAAATGTAATTTTTTTTTTTTTTTGGTCGCAAAAGTATCCTATCCATGGAATGCATTTTGATAAATGCATATTTATACTTAAAGGGAAAATATGACCTTCTAAATAACAACAATTCATATTATTGCTGCATGCATTCTTGGGGGTCTAGAAGTTAGAGGAAATTGTAGAACTCAAAGGAAAGAGAGATATACTTAAAAAGTTGGAAAGTCTTGGGCCCATCTGTCTGCTATTTTGTCATGGTGCTACTTAGAGAGGAAGAGAGAGATGAGGAAATTATTCCCAGATCTTCTCTGCAGTCCTCTCAGACAGGGAGTATTTTTGGAGTTACAGATAAATATTTTTCAGTGCACAATCTAAAGACTTATATTTTACCCTTATGCAAAGAGAAAAGATAGACGTGAAAATGTTGTCTCTGAATGTCATGATGCTACATCTACATTAAAAAGGGTCTTTTCTGACTCAGATGTCTGTCTTTTCATTTACTTTAGATGAGAATTTTTAATTTCTTGGTTGTAGCCATTCTTTGGGGAAGTGGAACCAGGGACATATATCCTTGGAAGAAGATAAAGATGCTGTTCAGATATGTAGGGATGGGATTAGAAAAGCTAAGGCTCAGCTGGAGCTGAATTTGGCAATCTACTGGTAATCTCTCTTCCTACATCTGTCAAATGCCCAAATTTTCAGACAGAGATTTGGGGAATTAAGTCTCCACCATTGTAGTAGATCCCTTTTCAGATCATCTGAGGAACCTGAGCATACAGAAGTCCATGGGACCCAGTAAAAAGTCTTGAGGGAAATAAAAGAAGCAGACACTAAGCCAATTTCCACTATATTTGAAAAACCAGGGAATCTGAGGAAGGCCCCAGTGACTGAGGGGTTATCACATCTGTTTTAAAAAGGACACTTAGGAGGATCCTGGGAAGTATTGACCAGTCAGCTTCCCCTCCATGCCCAATAAGGTCATAGACCAGATCCTTATGGAAGTTATACTGAAGCATATGCAAGACAGAAATGTGACTAGAGACAGCATCATGGCTTCACCAAGAGCAAATTGTGTCAGGCTTAGCTACAATAATAAGAGGCCATATACAATAATGTGACTCCATCAGTAGCAAGCAAAGAACAGTTGATGTTATTGACTGCATGTTATCTGCCTGGATGCTTTTAAGAAATTTGATAAGATTCCCCCATAATATTCTTGACAAGAAATTGAAGAAATATGAATTTTATGGATGGACCGTTGGATGGATAATAAACTGGCTGAATGGCCATGTACTCAAAATTTACAGTCAACAGATAAATATCCAAATGCAAAGCAATACTCAGTGGTGTCCCTTAAAGGTTCATACTGGGACCAATACTATTTAATACCTTCATGAAGGACACAGACAGTCGGATTAAGTGCACCATCAGGAAGTGTGTGGATAACACAAAGATGATGTCCACAGATGTACTAGAGGGAAGGGATGCCATGCAGAAGGACTTTGAAAGGCTTGAAAAGTGGACCAGTGGGAACCTCAAGTAGATCAACAAAGTAGAACCTCAAGTAGATAACAAAGCCAGGAGCAAGGTCCTGTACTACCACCGTACCACCAGTATTTTACCGACAGATGAATGAGATGGCTTGGGGATAATGGTGGATGAAAATACTGGACAAGAGACAGCAATATGCACTTGCAGCCCAGAAAACTAACCACATCCTGGGCTGCATCAAAAGCAGTGGGGCCAGCAGGCTGAAGGAGGTGATCCTGTCCCTCTACTCTGGTCTTGTAGGACTCCACCAGGAGTGCGGCATCCTGCTCTGGGGACCCCAGAACAAGAAAGACACAGACCTGTTAAGGAAGCTCTAGAGGAGGGCCACAAAAATGCTTAGAAAAGCTGAACTGGGACTGTTCAACCTGGAGAAGAAAATGCTTCTAGGAGACCTTATTATAGCCTTGCAATATACAAAGGGTGCCTACGAGAAAGATGGAGAAACTTTTAACCAGGCCTACAGTGGCAGAATAGGGGGCAAAAGAAATTTTTTATTATGAGGGTGGGGAGACACTGGAACAAGCTGCCTAGAGAAGTTGTGGATGCTTCATTGTTAGAAGTGTTCAAGATCAGGTTGGAGCTTTGAGCTTTGAGCAGCCTGATGTAACTGACGTCCCTTCCCATGGCATCAGGTTTGGACTGGATGGTCTTGGAAGATCCTTTTAAACCCAAACCATTTCTTGGTTCTATGATTTGTCTGTCTAAGATCATCCAGTGGTTATCAGTGTGGTCCTAATATTTTTTCTATCTACTGCTATTAAGGACACACTATAGACTGAAAGAAAAATAATTTAATGTGCCTCAAAACAGTACTAACATTTATGGAGAGTATAAGATCCAGTATTCACGTCAATTCAAGTGAATTTTCCAGAGGAATTTAGCATCTCCAGCAATTCAGCACTGTGGTCAATTAGATCTCTATTCCTTCATTACAGGGTGAGATAATAGCAATAGAATTACACATCTCTGTCGTTAACAACAGGTTTGTATGTGACTTTGTGTATGCACTTACAAATCAAGCACCATTGAAACGCACCAGAATTACAAAAATATGACCTCCAGTAACCCAGACTAGAAGAAAGGGATACAAATATTGTTAGTATTCAAACCATATGTCATAAAAGGACACTACTTTTTAAACTCTTATGAATAGTCATGTTGGTTTTACACAGGGCTGTTTTTCTGAAGAAATGTGTTTTCTTTTTCATTTTTTTTTAACTCATGAAGCAAGTCAAAAATACAGGGAATTCACCTAATATTTTCCAATGTCCAGGGAGAGCCTAATGAGCTCTCAATGATCACATTTACATTTCACCCAGAAGGAAAAAATGTAAATATGTTCATACAACAGATTTCCTCTGATTTTTAAGTGTGTACACATTTTCTGAATATCTTCTGTTTTTCTAATTCAAACATAGACTTTTGTAATAAAGAATAAATTCCATAGAGTCTTGAAAGTTACATTTGTCACTGTTGAGAAGCAATATTTAATGTCAATACACATATGTGTTTTTTGCTAACCCATTTAAAATCTTGACTACTATTACTTTTCTGTTTCTCATATAAATGCCCCTGTTTTGTGCCTTTTTTGCCTGAATTGCACAATTATAAAAAAGTAGCATTCTGACCCTTCTATTTTGTTTGATTTCAATATAAATACATAAAATAGGAGTTCACCAAGCCAAATATTGCACTTTTCCCTTTAGATTTATAAAATACAGAGGGACAATGAAACATTTTAAACCACTTATAGTGTTTACACTTATTTGTATCCTTCAACAATGTTAGTTTTAAAAAACCATGAGAAAACTTTTTAAAGAGACGCATTAAATAATCTTTTTTACAGATAAATAACTAACAAGATTCTGGGTATACATGTTGTTTGACAAAGAGCAAAACAGCAATTTGTTTTCTTGTGTCTTCAGTTCTTCCTTTCTTGCTCTTTTGTTTGTTTGGTTGGTTTTTTGTTTGTTTTTGTTGTTGTTTTGTGTGGGTTTTGGGTTTTTTTTGTTTGGTTTGGTTTGTTGATTCAGGGCTTTTTTGTTTGTTTGGGTGTTTCTGAGTACCAAGACTGCATGCATAAATATACCAAGATATATTTTTATATCTCTGGCTTTAAATTTAAATCTCTTTTCATCATAGAAAGAAATACTCTTTTATATTTAATGAATACTCAAAATCGGGGACAAGTAAAAAAATTCTCATTACTCTCATGAACTATAAAGTTGTTGGAAAACATGAACAGCATGAACAGATAACACAGCAACAGAAGACTTCTGTGTTCTAAAACAGTACCTACCATGAAAATAGGTCAGCTTTGCTATTAAGAAAAAAAGATCAAAAGTCCTTGTAAAAAGACACACAAAGAAAATTATTGTACCTTACCCTGTGTACCTAAAATGCCAGAAATATGCGCATTTGAGCATTCTGTATTCTGTTCTATACAAACTATAAGCTTTTTCGCTAAGATAACAAATATTTCTAATGTCTACCATTTTCTGCCATTTTTCAGATTTTATTTTTTTCTATGGAAAAGCAGAACCTCAAAAAATAAATAAGCCTTATTTTGGACAAAAGTTTGGTACATGCTATGCACCATGATTATGGATTGTATATGTGTGTATATGGCCTTTATTTTTTGTATGTATCTCTAAGAAACAATTTGCACACAAAATTAGTAAATATAGATAAAAAATAACATTTTCCTTTTTCTTGCCATTGCCAACTGTTTAAAAACTGTGAGGACCCATACTTGATTGACTTTATTCTTCTTTTTCTTAACATAGAAATTATTTAAGAAAAAGATACCAGTTATCAAAACATTATACATTTCCAGTCAATTTCTTTTTAAGGGGAAGGCAGTTGTCAAAAATAACACAGTTTAGCCCAGTTTCCATTAAAATATGGACAATTCAAAATCCATCACGGAGATTGTTCAGTTTTAAAATCAAAACTGAGCCAAATATCTATGATTGATCCGTGGAAAAATTCAGTAATCAAATATTTCTTTGCAAATATTTCTATGAAGAAAAGAGTCACTTACCTAAAACTCCCAGCCTGTAATTGATAGTGACAACAATGACATTTCCATAACTTGCGAGAATGCTGCCATCAATCATATTTCCAGTACCCTCCATGTAAGATCCACCATGGATGTAGACCATAACGGGTTTCTTGCTGTTCTGATCATGAATGTCTGAAAAAATGCAAGTAAGGAAAACACAATAAAGCAATAAAAACATAAGGAAAATGGCATTAGTAATTTTTAATAGTGTTTACAATTGTCTTAATTACTTCCTATGTTTTCAATGTCACCACCCCTGTACCCACTAGCTTACACAGTTCAGGACCATCCTACAAGCCTAATATTTATAATTTAAAATTTCAAATACTATTTCCTCTAAAATGGTCTCACTTCAAATGTATTCAGTATTACAGGAAATTTAATTTTAGTAAAAATGTCTTAAAGCCTAAAAAACCAAATTATGAAATAATCTTGGTTTCTTTAGAACACTCGGATTCAAATATACACCAATTTAGAAATAACTGTGCATCTAGTAATAAAATTATAGGAATGATCCATACTTTCCCATTTCTTATAGGACATAATTATTGAAATTATATTCCCAGTAGTTCAGTAAGAGATAATAGCAAAAATCTAACTGTTCTGGTAGAAGATAACACAGCAGACTGTTCCTTCTTTTAAACAGCCTAGGAGTTAACAGAGAGGATTTATGTGAATTTATGTCCCACCTTTTTTTGTATTTAAATCAAATTATGTCTTTTGTGTTGCACTTTTCCTGGTCTGGTAGCAGCTAAGCCTCAAAGAACAACCTTGAGTTAATGGTATTGCTGATCTTTTGTATAGGTAGAAAATTCCTGGCTACTTTTAAAAAAGATAAACAGCTGGGTCTTTAAAAGAAAGTTCAATGAAACTGACAACACTTTAAAGAATTCTAAAAGAAAGTTAAATGAAATTGATATTACATATTTAATAGTGAGTTCTAAAGATGTGCTAATCAGTGATTGGGGTATATTTGGGAGTAGGTTAATCTAAAAAGTTCGGCTCTTGATGCCAGTGATGATTCAGAATACCTAAATCTGGAACTTATGTTCTCTATAAAAACAGTGTGAAGATAGGTTAAGCTCCTTTATAAAGTAGAAGGCAATTCAGCAAACTACCATTAGATATACAAATCTTCTATAAATAATTCAGTCTATCTGCATGGAATCAGAGCACTTCTTTCAAGCATATAACATAACATACAAGGAAAAGCAGTCTCTGATTATTCAAGCAGGTTTTGAAAAAAATCTTTTGGATAGGAATATATTGAAGAGTGGAGAAGGGAGGTGGACAAAGAAAAAGCTGAGCTAAATACCTACAGGTGAGGGATCTACATTTGAAAAGCTTCCAAACATCCTCCCTCCCCTCAGGCTGATTATGAAATACTGAGATAAAAAATGTGATCAAAAATCAGGTACCAGATAGTCAGTGTTTTATATATGCAGAACTAATTAGAGCATATTTAAATGTATATTTTAACTATCCTACTCCTGTGTCCCACTTTTGTTTTACTCATGTGTATACCTTAAATATCACAAATTTCCAGCTGAATTCAGGAATGTCCAGGCTGCAATGTACACCTGTCTACTTGTCAGAGTTAAGGCTTGTCATTGATTCTGCCTCCTTTCCACAAAAAGATATATCCTTATATGTTGTATTTTAAACATTGTACTTGAGCAGAAGAACAAAAGTTTTTGTGATAAGATCATTTTAATTGTTGTGACTATAAGAGTAGCACAGCAATTAAACAGATCATTTAAAGCAATGAGGTGCAGTCTAGTCAATGTATTTTTTTTATTGTCAGCATTTTCAGCAAAGTACATAAAAGTGCTTCTTCTCTAAAGGCACAGCTAAGACCTCAAAAAACCTGAAACCAGCAATTATTTAATGTAATTATTTGTGTTGCTGAATTACCTTTCCCTTCTCTCCCCAAAATCTCATGGCACGTTTTTTTTTGCCTTTAATCTTTTCTTATTACCTTATTCTACCTCAGGGTTGAATCTTTCACTGATGAAGTCAATAGAAGGTTTCCCCTTCCTTTTCAATGGGAACATTATTATTTTCAACATAAAAGAAATTAGCTTGATGCTCTGTATGCTTAGATCCAAAGTGGATATCTTTGTTAATAATGAAATACTAACATTTTATAAATTTTAAAAAAGGTTGAATAGTAATATGTTCATAATCTAGTATTTATCTTTATTTTTAAAGCAACTTTGGTTTTGCCTGTTATTTGTCCTTTATTTTAAAATTTACTTCAGAATTTGGTATAGAAATGATACTACCATTGTTTGAAAAAAGCGTATGTTGAACAGAAATAGGAAGCTGATAATCAGAAAGCAACAGAGTAATTTTAGAGCACTCTGTGCAGTATTTCTGTGTTGTAAGAAAGAGTGTAATTCAGCAGTGAAGGTGGTGGAGTAGAGGGCAATCAGCATGAATCAAAGACCTGAGGTTTTTAATACGGTATTTTGTATACAGACAGTAGTAGTACAATAAACCTGAACTCCAGGAAAAGAAGTGATAGTATCCTCACTGCACTGTGTATGATTCTAAGTGAAATAGAGAGGACATGTGTTTCAAAATCATTTGAAATTTTGTCAGATGGGAAAAAAAGGGGAAAAAATACATAGAATAACACTTTGGATTGGCCAAGCCTGAAAGGATTCATAAACATGCCACTTTGAAGCCAGACCAATAAACTATCCAGGATTTTTATCTTCTCATTTAATGTGAAAATGGGTTTTTTTCTTAATTTGGTAAATACATGTAAACTGACAATCTAATAAAAATGAAGGGTGAGAATAGAGGAAGATTTCATGACTTCTTTCTATTTTGGTGCATCCTAAATAGATTTGTTGCATCAAGACAAGAAAAAAAAATTACTTCCATCTAAAACTTTTTTGGGGTACTTCACTGTGAACTTTTACATTTTATTCAGGAAACCCAGTCTAACTTTGAAAGAAGTCAATGAAAATGATTGTTACTGATTTCAGTGGGAATGTGGTCAGAGTCAGAATGAATGTGTCTCAGAGGCTAGCTGATTACAGGAAAAAAAAACCAATAAAGCAGTATCAACAGCTTCCTTTATTTTTGTGTCCTGAAATAAACCACATCCTGTGAGAAAAAAATATAAATAAGTAAATAAAAATAGCAAAGACAAAGCACAATTCAACTGTATCAATATACAGCATGTGCACTGGGGAAACAGTGGAAGTGAAAGGAAGGATATATGTGAGCTGTTTCATGAATTTCGAACAAGTGATTATACAAAATGTGTAGGAGGGAAAAGAGCACATGCATGTTTTTAAATTCCATTTTCTCAGCCTACGAAAGAATAAAGGGGAAAAAATATGTGGTTTCAAATAACATTTATGTTACTCACTTCACACATATTTAGGAATGAACTTTACACCTATGTCACGGAGGAACTGCAGTCATCTATATGCTAATTTAGATTTTAAAAAGAAAAACAATCAAAGCAAATTCTAAAGAAGAAAATAAAGAAGCACACTGATGTGAGCTTCTGCAAATAAGGGACTAAAAATCATGTTGAAATAACAGCAATAATAATAACAATAATCATTCTTAATATAACAAAAATTGAAAAGTTTATGTTCATGCATCAGGGTCAGGCTTTGAAAAAACAAAAAATACCTTCATCTTCACCACGATCATTACTGGTTATATCATCTGCGCTTTTCTTTGTGTTGGCTCCTGGGATCATATTGAGGAGGGGAATAAAGGGAAAAAAGAGAATTCAAAACCAGCAGGTTCTCAAAAATAAAAAAAAAAAAAAACACTAGTACAAAAAATGTAACAAAAATGTCAAAATCTGTTACATTTGAAAGTGAAAAACAAAAAAGATGCAAACTGCACATAAACATAAAATGTCAAGAAGAACAAATTGAAAATATTTGAAAAAATGTATCATATTCTGTGACAATGCAGTACTTTAGTTAAAAGTGATTTCTTCAAAAAAAACCCCAAATTAATGTGCTATTAAAAAAGAATAATATAAACCAAAAAAGTATGTTAAAAATTACAAAATTATGTTTTTACACAAGAAATGCAATTTTTTTACTCTGTTCTGTAACCTTGAGGAAATAATGCCTTGAGTTACTTTCTTCAATAACAACATTTTATTCATCCTCATTAAAATGTATTAAGAAATAGCCGCAACCTGAATTTTGGATGGAAATAATGTAAATAAAATGATCGTTTGACCTTTACACAACTTGATTTGACCAAGACAAATCATAAACACCTCCTTTAAAGTTAATATTGCTTCCCATATGAGCAAAAAGCTGTTTAAAACAAGACTGTAAACAAAAGTGAAACAGAGTTGAGTCAATCTCTATTCATGAAATTGGTCCAAAACCAACCTTGGTTGAAAATATACTACATCTCCTGCTCTTTAGAAAAACCTAGAAATTGACTGAAAATATTTACTTACCATGATAAAGAACTTGCATTTCTTTACTGAAAGATTTAGTGAAAAATATGTTTTAATTTGTATTCAACAGGCTTTCTTAAAACACTTTTCAGGTGTACACATGCACACACACGCACAGGCATGCACACACACATAAACATTTATGCTCAGACGTGTCACAGCCTGTGCTTATGGGAGTAAAAGGAAATAAGCATACTTTTCAACATCCTCGTCCTTGGGCAATACTTCTGTTTTCTGACTAAAAAAATAAAAATACACCAAGCAATCCTTGCACCCAGCGTTCCATTATATTATGCTTACTCCCATAGCAAGTAGCCCTCTGTAATGTAAACAGTTACTTGATAAGGAGTGAAACAGGAATAGGAAACTCAATTTATAATTTAGCTTAGAAATTAACATAGCTGCTAAAGAAATAAATGATCAAAGCATGCTAATAATTATTTTCTTGCATTTTCTTTATTTTGAAGTGTCTTTTCAGTACATGCTGAAAAAGAACAGTATACTTTAACTTGTTTATGTATGAAGTCTAAATTTGTAACAGATACATCATATTTAAATAAATATTATTTACTTCTTTTATTTTGCTATTTAAATTTTACTGTTGACTATATTTATATCCCTCAAAATCCAAGGCACCAATTAAATCTTAATCCATGATTGTAAAACAGAATGTCTTTACTATTACTAAAGTATTTAAACTTTTTAAGTATATACAGTTTTGGGATCAGTGCACTAGTTTATTTGTCTTCCAGAGACACAATTTCTACAGGCATTTTCTGGAAGCACTGCCACTATGTATGCAGTGACGATGATTAGTGAGCAAAAATGTGAAAAGCAGCGACTGATACTCTATCTCCACTTAATAAAGTCTCCATCTTCAATGCTGTTGTACAAAAGATATTGTTTATGCAGTACACCAGTGGATTCATTATATATATCCAGTACATAATTAACTAGGTAAAATATCTCTGTCAATGAAATACAGATGTTCTTTAATCTCTATTTTCTTTCAGAAGTAATAGATACAGGGTCATAATCTCAGCCACCCTCCATGTTTTGTTCTTTTATTCAATATTGTTCCAAATTATTTATAGCCCAATGATGGTGCAATACTTTCCCAGGTGATACACAAATATAGCTAATTTTGTATTTAAACAAACGAAATACTGAACCTTGCCCTTACATTATTTTTGATTTATGTAAAATATTTATAAGAAATAGTTATTTATATGCAATGAATACATATAGACACAACTATGAATGTACATAACAAATTTCAATACTAGCTTCCCCAGGGAGGTAGTCTTTTAATTGTTTGATAAAAAAATATGATCATCATATGGTAAATATAAAATCAAATACCACATATTTTTTATTCCTATAAATTAAAAAAAATATCAAAATTACTGTGACCCCATATATGCAGTACCTGTAGACAAAAACTGTGTGTACAATTATTAGGACTGTAATCCCTATTTCAAGTATTTTTGAGTGAAAGAAGTGGTTGTGTCCCAGAACATTTTGATTTGGATACTATGTCACCCCAAAATCTTCAATACACATATCAATAACATATTGCAAGGATTTTCTTTTTAGTGTGGTACCCAGTGTGACACTGGCTCAGTGTACTTCTGGAAAAAACAATGCAATTGTAATGAGAATTTGGAAAACATGGTTACATCAAGCTATTAGATGTATCACCTAACAGGTATGTGACATAAGGTTATCTGTAATATTTGAAACACCCCTTATTCCTTTTTTATGTTCTTTAAAGATGTAAAATATCACATTTTAATATATTTTCAGAAGAAATTATTGTAACTTAGTATGTATTTATTTACAATGTAAGTGGGAATTCTATTTCTCCTATATGTTGTGAAACAATAATTTTCCTATTTTTGACTGGAATACACTTTTGCAACTAAGTTCTTGGGTTTGAGAGGATTTTATATTCATTTTGAGATCTCGTAAGATTGATTACATCAATGAGTTTTCAAACCAAGTTTCTGTGCTCCTATCACATTGGACTTTTTTCATACTGTGCATACCAGCCATAAAATCATGCAGTCATTAAGGCTGCAAAAGATCAAGTCCAACTGTGGCCCTAAGTACCACATCTACATCATTTAAATACCTCCAGGGATGGTGACTCAATGACTTCCCTGGACAGACTGTTCTAATGCCTGACCATCATTTCCATGAACAAGTTTTTCCCAATATCCAGTTTAAACCCCTGCTGGTGAAACCTGAGGCCACCTCCTCTCACCCTATGCCTTGCTACTTTTAAAAGAGACCAACGCCCAGCTGGCTACAAACTCCTTTCAGGTAGTTGTAGAGAGTGATAAAATGTCCCCTGAGATTCCTATTCTTCAAATTAAACAACTCCAGCTCCTTCACTTGCTCCTCAGACTTGTGGCCAGATGTTTCACCACCCCTGCTGTCCTCCAACAACAGAGCACTGCGGTGCCTCAATGTTCTCCTTGCAGTCAGGGACCCAGAAATGAGCACAGGATTTGAGGCACAGTCTCACCAGTGCTGAATACAGGGGGACCATCACTGCCCTGATCCTGCTGGCCACACTATTTCTGATACTGTTAGCATGAAATAGTATGTTTCTGGAAGCTTATATTTTTGAAAGATTCATGTATTTTTTTAAGCAATGCTCCTAAGTATTTTAGGTGGTTTTGGAGCTACTGAAATAATTCCAACAATGACATCTGTTCTCCTAAGTCTATCTCATACAGAGAGCAAAAATTTGAATTTTCCAACCATGTTTTGTATTTTTTTTATTAAAAATGTCAATTCATTTGTCCTTAAACTTCTAAAAAATGATGGTAATCCCAGTCATAAGATAAAAAAGTCGCTATGCCTCTAAAGTTAGTTTAAGGCTGCATTAATCTTGGAGACTGAATGGAATCATAACTCAGAAACTCCCATTCCTCAGAAAAAACTGCCTGCCTACAACAGCTGATTTTCCCACAGATCAACACTTCCCTCTGCTTTGGGGCTTCTTTTGCGAGTGTTCAGGGTTGGGCCAATTTTTTCCCCATATCTCATATTCTCCTTATCCAAATCACAGGAGCAGCAATTTTAACCTTCAGTTCCCATACACCAAGTAAACATAACTACTGTATTATAGGATTTGGCCCTTCTGCAGTCTAAGAACTGTTTACTCATTCATCCCACATTAAACACGGAAGTAAATTTCAACAGCAACCCAGGATCCAGCAGTAGTAGTAATAATCTAGTGCGTTAAAGACTCAATTCCCTGAGCATCTCTACTGACTAACCTGGTGTTTGACCAGAGTTCCTGGTTTGTGAAGTTTGTACTTCACTTTTCATGATACTGAAAAGTAACAGAAAAATGCTTCAAAATATAAATAGGATGGAAATTTTTTTCCCAAATGGTCAAGGCTAGGAACAACTTAATTACATATGTTAAATATGCTGTAGATAGCATAGCTCTATTGAAGAATACATTTGTATAAAGGTTCATTGTAATTTAGAAAAATATCTTACTGTTAATGAAAATTACTAGAATAAGATGTGACTTTGTAATGCATACACTAAAGGCCAGGTGACCTCTTTCCATTTGTCCTACAATTCCATTCACTGCTGAGTGAAAAGAGCATGGTGCAATATATTACTGAACTCTGCCAAACTTCTTTTGCAAAGGATTTTTGTCTGCCAGAAACTGCTTCTTAATATATTACTGAACTCTGCCAAACTTCTTTTGCAAAGGATTTTTGTCTGCCAGAAACTTATATATATATATAAAAGCTGTTTTAAAACAGGTCTAGCCAATATGGTCATTATAAAGAAAGGTTTAATGGAGGCTTTTAATTTTTTCTTCCCCTGTAAGAAGCACTGCAAGCAATGCAGTTGTAAACATTAAATCAGCAAACATTTCTCAAAGGTTTTGATTTTGAAAAGCTGATTGATGTGTTAATAAACTATTAAAAAGTAGTTGATTCCATTTATCTATGGATGTACAGTCACCTTGTATTCCCAGATTTGTTCTCAGTGCCATGCACAAATCTATCACAAATGAAGAAGTCACCCTGCTGTAAGCATGTCCTCTGGCTCACATTTCTTTTGCATAATGAACAAAAATCTCATTCAGAAGTAAATTTTCTGGTTTTGTAAGTTGTCCCAGTTGTATTGACAATTTATGCTACATCTTCCTCCATTCAGATAATATGAATCACATATATGTAATATAGGCAGGTCCCATGCATGCAGTTTACCATGCTTTCATATT